CAGATACTTACCGACGAATTATCGAGGGGAAAATATGTGGAGAGAGAGGAGGTGGAGGAATCTCCCGTTGCTTTCAACTTGCGTAATTTGCAGCCAGCGTTTATTTGTCTAGTTTTGGGTTGGGTTTTGAGTTGCGTCGTTTTTGTCTCCGAGCTCTCGATCGATATCCGGGAGAATGCAGTTAAGCGGATCCTGCAGAGCGTCAGAAAATACCTCCGGGCCTTTAGCCTCTGGTAAAAGGCTTCGATAAATCACCGGAAAAAATATGTCAAAAAAATGTGCAACAACTCTTGGATGTTGTCATCAGCACATCCTAGAATGTTATTTCAACACCAGAGTGTTAATGACGACATCCAAGAGTTGTCGCACATTTTTGGAACATCTGTGGTGTTATTACGGAACCTTTTTTTCAGCGATGAATGAATGAATGAATGGATGCCCTAGTAGCGCCGGCTGTTGATAAAACTGTTAGGTATCATCAATTTTGAAAAGATAACTCTTTGAAAGATAACTGTTAACATGTTCGGTTTAAGAAACTTTTTTGGGGGATTTTTTAAGTAAAATTTGCGAGAGGTAAAATTTAAGGGGGAAAATGTTTTAAAAAAAACCTCTCAAAATATTAATAGCAGTAGTTATAGTTTTTCAACATCAGAAATTTGTGGAAGAAATTTTGAAAAAATCATAAATTTTAAAGCGAAAAGTCTGGGGGGAAAACTGTTAAAATGTTCATTTCAGGAAACTATTTTCTGATATTTTTTTAAGTGAAATTTGCGAGAGGTAAAGTTTAAGCGGAAAAAAAGTTTTAAAAAAAAACTCTTAAAACGTCAACAGCAGTAACCGTTCTTCGACATAAGAAATATTTGAAAGAAATATTGAAAAACTCATACAAATAATGTAGTACTTTTTCAAAACGCGTGTGCATTGAAGCCTGCCGTTAAATTGCATTCCAAGGTGTGCCATTATAGCCTGGCAGGTTTGAATTGACATTTTCCGCTTACGAATTTCATCGAACTTTGGAAGGCGCTTCAACGCCTCAATCTGCAAAAACTAGCATAAGTGTCTTTTTTCAAATCTTATTATTAATGTATGATATTTCAAACTCTGGGAGTAATAATTTGCTGAAACCCACAATCAGCTTAAATCCCAATTGTGAGGATTTTGTTCCATGTTTTCTCATTAAAATGTTGCTTGTGAATGATTAGCGCTCTGATTTTTTCCTATTTTATCTCCTTTTTGTGATGCAACACTTCAGCACTCTCTCTTCCTCACCTAATTCAAAATATTCAAAATAATCCATTCCATAGGGAGGTTTGAAGGCAATCCAGAAGGGGGGGGGGGGTTCTGGGATACCAATCCGCCTGCCACAAATGTCTCTCCGTCCTTCTTGATCGGTGTTGCATCCCTTATCCATTAGAGCAACATTTCAATGCCAGTCTTTAAAGTTAAGGAACTGGTTGTGGGCTTGAACAACCAGAGCGCCTTAAGTATTCTGCACATGCAACACGCACATCCATAGAGTACGAATAGTTGTATCAATGCAAGGCGTCGTCGTATTATTAGTATTGCAACGTTTCAGACACATACTCGCTGGCTAGAGGCGCTCCATTCTATTATGTTTGTAAAATAAACGCAGCGCTCTGTTTATTTTACTCGCGCAACTTTTTGTCGTTTTGTGTGCCTGAAGATTTTATATGTTATCTGAAGTTCTTTCGGAGGTGTATCAACAGTCTCGAAAACCTGAAAAATCTGAAAAACGTGAAGTGATACTTCTTGCTATTCAAAAGCTGAGTTTGAAGCAATTACAAATCCATCATCTAGTTTTACATTCAAATGGTATATTTTTGGCCTGAACTGTCAGCGAACACCACAATTGTGACGATTTTCCAGAATTTCCGTCCGAAAATTGTCTCTACTAAGAAGACAACTCAGCAAGCGAATTTGTTTACTTGGCGGCTCACCGTTATACTTACATCGAATGTGAATCGACGCTAGAAAAAGAAGTACATTTTTTTTAAAAAATATTCTTTAAGTTAGTCAAAAGGTGAAAAAAGTCTCATTTTTTTCAAGTTGTAAAAAATAATATCCCAATAAATTTTACTCCAAAATGAGAGGAAACTACTAGTTTTAATCAGAGAAGATTTTCTCAATCTACTCAAATCTGAAGGATTAAACAAAATATGAAAAAAAATGTATATTTTTTTCAGAACTCTAGAAAATAAATAGTTCTTCAATAGGATATAGAGGGAAATGAGAGGACACTTCGCACCTTTTGGTCGAAAATAATAGAATTTTCCACTGGTAAGTTATATGAGTATCACTCCGGAGATCGGTGAGTTTATCTCTAGAAATCAAGAAAAGGAGGAAATTGTAAAAAATAAACAATTATAGATACTATGATCTAATAGAATTTTACCTTTTCTTTCAAATCAAAACCACCGAGTGGCGCAAAACTTGGACCCCCAATGTGATCACCAGCCCCCCCCTCCCCTATCATAAAGCGGGGCACGGGGGCTTCCTAAGGGGAATAAGGGCTCATAAGTCCCCACCCCCACCCCCGCCAAAAACAACATCATCATCATTATCATCATCATCATCATCATTATCATCATCATCATCATCATCATCATCATCATCATCATCATCATCATCATCATCATCATCATCATCATCATCATCATCATCATCATCATCATCATCAACAGCATCAACAACAACAACAACAACAACAACAACAACAACAACAACAACAACAACAACAACAACAACAACAGCAGCAGCAGAAGCAGCAGAAGCAGCAGCAGCAGCAGCAGTTGTAACAACACGTGCAAGAATGATTCGAATGCAGCGATGCACTCAAGGTGAGCATCCAATGCAAAGCGCCTGCAAACGCTCGCGCCGCAACCAGTCGAGCTCAAGCCGAGCTGAGGCATGCGCCATTCTGCCGCAATAAGGAAAAACGCCGTATGACCCTTCAGGCGTTGCCAAATTTAATTTGATAAAACACGAATTTCCTGGTAAATTCATGAATATTCTTCTTTTAATTTTTCAGATAATTTTGTTCGTAATTTCACCTAAAGTTCTTGAAAATTTCAGGGAAAAATATTCATATCTTTCCTCAAAAATAAAAATTTTATCGCAAGGAATTTGGCAACTCTCGAATGTTCATACGGCGTTCTTCCTTAGCATGGCAGCATTGGAACCATGCGTTTGGTCTGAGGTTGTTGAATCGCTCAAAGTCCTCCTTCAGTATTTAACGTCTACTAAAAATTATACGTATACATGTATCCACTACTTAGCATTCTATGTATGAAAAGAATAATTTAGTTTTAGTTACACGTAAATAAGATGGTGAAAAGCTCTCAAAAAGTCGAGTTTAACCTGGAAATAAACGTCGGAAAATTAGCCCGATTCAAGAACCGCAGGGAATTTTGTTGCCTAAAATTCTCTCCTCCAACCTTTTCATTGTATTTTCCTCTTTTAAGAGACGTAAATTTTTAGTGTAATTGTCTTATCAGAAGCCATGTCGATACAACCCTGGTAAAAATTGGCAGTAGAATCTGTGTTCCAAAATACCATAGACCTAAAGCCGGCTGTAAGATTTTCAATAGCTTCTGTAGCCGGCTGCACAATTTCTTACAGCCTTTTATAGCCGATGGCGATTGAGCAACAGCCAGGCGATAAAGTGTACGCTAAATGTTAGTAATTACGGATGCCAGGACTGGTTTTGGATTACCGCTCTATTTTTGGGGCGTAGTATCTTGATTTATTTTGCGCGGAAAGCTCCATACTTTTGAAGGATGCCTGCCATTCCTGATATGTTAGAGCGCCTTCGATTTCGTATGATACTGTGCAATACCTCTGGTGTGAAATAGTTGCTTCAAGCTCCGTGGCACGCTGCGGCGCAGCGGGCGAGCAGCCAGCGCGAAAAGCGCCTCAGCGCCTACAAACCTAACAGGGATACTTCACGCATTGCGCCATGCGTGAAGTATCCCTGTTAGGTTTGTAGGCGCTAGTGCGCGCTTATCGCTGGCAGCACACAGCTCCGCTCTGTGTTAGCCTCCAATATAGTCTTGCGGAGTCAGCGTTTTTCAACTCATGATTTTGAAATGTTTGCACATCCTGTATGGATTATTCTCATTTTAATTGATGAAAAAAAATATGTATTAGGGGAAAATATAGTGTGTGTTTTGTGAATATTATGGTGGTTCCGTATCAAACTTAATGATTTCCAAAGCACACGAATTTCTACAATTTCTTATAGCCTTTTATAGCCGATGGCGATAAAGTGTAAAGCCCGGCGATAGAAACTATACCTAGCCCGGCGATAGAAACTATAGCCCGGCGATAGAAACTATAGCCCGGCGATAGAAACTATAGCCAGGCTGCATACTTTTTTATCGCTTCGTATAGCCCGGCTATATGATTTGCTCCGCTTTCTACAGCCAGCTATATGATTTTCTATTGCCTCCTTCAGCCGGCTATAAGAATTCCTATGGTATTTTGAAACGCAGCTCCTATCGCCAATTTTTACCAGGGAAAGCATTGAAAATCATGAGAGATTCCATCATCATCTAAATATTTAGAAAGACGGCCACCTGTGGTGTGGTGGCTGTAAAAGCAGGAGCTCTGTGATCAGGAGATTCCGGGTTCGATTCCCGGCCAGCTGTGGCCCATTCGTGTTTGATGGTCTCGACTCTCGAACAACGGTTACGTTGGGCTGGATTGTTTAGGGACTCGGGGGAGATGGGACATTAGAGACTGTAAGCTTGAGTTAAGGGACATTCGAAGTGTAAAAAAAAAGGAGAAAAAAAGAAGGAAAAAACCCAAAACCTAAGCATCAACTAAAAAATTACAGTGGTACTAGTATGTCCATTATCATTTTCAATGCGCCTTCATTCTTGAAGAAAGCAAATTATGTTACAGGACGGTGTCAAAGCAGAATGCACTGCACTCTATCGTCATAGGATGGAAAGTGAATAAGTTAGGTTATGTTTGTGTTGTTGTGGTGTTATCTGATTCGCTAAGGCTTTCGCAGCTTTTCCTGCTATCATTCTTATCATTACTTATTCAGTCTTTCGCCGCAAGTTTACCGGGGTACGTACGTGAGTTTGTTCACGTCGAGTAGTTGATGAACGAGTCGTATTTTGTTTATTTTTACGAACTCAAGCACTTACGGTCTGCAACACCAAATTTGTGAACCTTCCTCATTTGTTCCCAAGCTTCATCTTATCTTTGTAAGTACCTATAAATTTCCTCCAGGTGTTTCGTGTTTACAATTGTTTTAGAACCTCATTCCCATAACCCAGCTGGCAGTGTTTATTTACCGGCTCTTTATCGTGGATTTGGTTCAGTGAGTTGGTGTTCCGCACAGCAGCTGATAATTAGTACTAGCAGCGAATACCTCACGATTACATTGATAGGTAAGGAAGGTTTAGAGACTAGTCCTGGAGCATAACTTGCGCCTCGTCTCCAGCCGCTAATGCTAAGCCTCCAGGAATTGCGCTCCTTGTGTGCTTATAGTTCATTGTATGCTATAATTCTAATTGATGAAGAGGCAACCTACGTATTAATTCAAAATTTGTCAAAGGACATATGGACCGCGTTAAACAGAAAGGAACCAAGCCACATCAACTATTGCCAAATTTAATCGGCTAATTAAATTTTTTACATGAAAACAGTTGTGCGGATTTTTGTGCAGGACAGTTGTGCGGATTTCAGTGAATTTTCTCCATAGTACGAAGCAAATTCCTTAACATTTTCAAAGGGATCAGCACAAACGTTTTCTCGAAAAAAATTAAATTGCCCAGTTAAAATTGGCAATAGCTGATGTGGCTCGGTTCCTTTCTGTTAAATGCGGTCCATATGTATGTAGATTGATGAATACTTTTGAACTTTGTCCAGAAAGCTGTTGTTGTCTTTTACTTGAAGGTAAAAATGCACTCTGTAATTTAGAAAGTCTCTCTCTATCGGATATCTTCAAATCATACAGCATACCTTTGTATCCCAATTGCCTTGAAATGTTTTGATTTTAAGTTTTTACTCGATGCCGAGTAGAAACATAATCAAAGCGTTTCAAGGAGATCAGGATACAAAAGTACATTGCACAGTTCACTGGTAAATCTAAATTAGTCAGGGCAAAGATGCAGAAACCATGCAGTTGTACAAATTGATAGGTTTTGGAATTCAGGAAAGCCAGTTGAGATCAAACCAAAAATTCAGCTTTTGCCAAGTAACTGCTGTCACAATTAGTACATGAAAAAAAAGAGGAAAAGGCCCATCAAACCAATCAAATAGCTAGCAACTCTTTGCTACGGGTGCTAAAACTTCTCGCAAACGACAAAGTCAAATGGAATAAAAAGAAAATCCATCAAATTTTCTTAAAGTCTTTTTTGTCGTGGAGTTCAAGCTGTGTTGAAGTTCAAATTTTTGAGGAAAATAATTTTTGGTCTCTTAATTTTTCAGGAACAAGTAACTGATCATGGATTTTGGTTAAAACTGGGGAAAAAATTACTTTTGGGAGAAGGCTGAAAACTTTCTACCCTCCTGACTAAGGGATGTACTTACTTATGTAAAGCTAATTTGGAGTAGTTTTCAATAAAAAGCCATCAGTTTTTCTGAATTTTTAAGGTTTACCGCTGATTTTTGTTGGAACTTTAACATTTGCCCATACTCGTTTGTCCAAATAATTAATTTAACATGCTTTCTATGTTTCCTTGCAGATGCAGTTTAGGTCATTATTTCGCCACAAAATGAAAATCCTATTTCCAGCTGCAGGATGGTTCTTCATGCAGCTATTTGCCTCTAGCTTTGCTGAAGCGGAAGATTCAAAGATTAAAGTTCTCACAGCTGCTGATTTTTCGACAGCCATTGCTAAGAATAACCACTTCGTAATGTTTTTTGCACCATGGTGAGATTTTTATTTATTTTAGAGACACTTTTTGATGTACATCTATCTACCATCATAAATGAAAAAATAAAGCACTAAGAAGTGGCCCGAACTGTATGTAACAAGGTGGAGAAATGGTGCTGGGTCCACACCATTTTGCGAGGAAAACAAAGCCAAGAAATTCCAAAAATTAATATTAGAGTCCAAATTAGTGTGATTGGCTGATGAGGTCTAAAAAGGCCCAAACCGCTATAGATCTCTCGGCGTGACTCCAACTTAATATTCCAATGCAAACTGCCCGAGCTGAACACTCGCCCCCCTCAGTTTCGTACTGGTATGCATTAGAGTTCTTAAAATTTGGACTCTTATTTTAATTTTTGGCATTTCTTGGCTTTGTTTTCCCCGCGAAATGGTGTGGACCCAGTACCATTTCTCCACCTTGTTATCTACAATTATATTCACATGATTGCCACGAGTAAATCTCACCTTCATTTCTCAAATTTCGGAAAATGAAAGAATGATGCACACAAAATTTGAAGGAAGCAAAGAATGGAAAACATGTAGCAGTCGCAGAAGTCTCTTTCAAATCCATACGCTTAGGCTGCCTGGATGTTCAGGCTCCCCCCGCGCACAGCGATAGATTCCTTTTGGCAGGTGCAATTCTCGCTCACTCCTTTTTGTAAAAAAGTTCTATCTACACAAAATGTTCAGCATAAACATTCTTCCTGCGAAAAGCTGCCATTTCGATCATTGAATTTTTAGTCAACCACTTTGTACAAGAATTTGCTCTTCACAACAAATTCAAAATCAATTTTAAAATAAATCAATTCTCTTTATGCAATATACATAGACCCCTTCTTTTCAATAAAGATCCATAAGTCTTGGTCTCTGAAATTCTCAGTTTTCATGAGCAAGTAAAATTTGAAAACGCTTTTTGTACTCATATGTTTTTAACTATTCAAAGAAGGTAGGGTAAATCTTTCTGTTTCAATCCTCATTAACTTGCTCATATACATTTTCAGGTGCACCTATTGCCAAAGATTGGAACCAACGTGGGAAGAACTTGCGGAAATGTTGAACGAGCCTGTTGATAGCCGCGTAAACATTGCCAAGGTTGATTGCACTACTGATACATCTTTGTGCTCAGAACATGATGTAACTGGTTACCCAACGTAAGTCTCCCTCCCTATTCTTCGCACACAAGATCAGAGAGACTTCCTGCTACTTGCAGTCTTTTTTATATTGGAAAAGCTTTCTCCTCCTGAAAAGGCATGAAAACCTAGAAAAATCAGAGAATGCTAGGCAACCTTGAAAAGTCATTGAATTTTGTTTCAAAACTTTGAAGCACTTTCTCCCAGTCGAGGCATCTAATTATTTTCTTGTGCTCTCACACGCTCTATTAACGCAAATTAGAACTTCTGCCTTTAAATTCTCAAATTTCAGATTTTTTTTTTTTCAAATTAAAGCAATTTCAGGATAGAAACATTTTTTCAAAAGCATTTAATAGTAATAGTGGCGCCAAAGAACCTTTGAAAAGTCAAGGAAACTCAATTTTTAAAACGCTGGAGTCAGGAAATTTTGAATTCCAAGAAATCTTATCACTCTGTGTTTAGGGAAAACGATCACAGTAAAATAATACCATAGATAATCGAGTTTTTAGTAATAATGATATCGAAAAGTCTGTTTAATTGTACAAAGAGGGAAACATACATCATTTTAATTTTGTGAGGCAAACGGGTGACTCGACAAGGCATGAACTAGAAAGAAACTTTACATGTCACCTCTTCAAAATCCTATGCAGAAAAAGGGAAGTTTATTTCCAGACTTTTTTTTTGTTTTTTTTAATTCCTCTACACGCAATAAATGTTCTTCTCTTTTATTTTTCAAATCACCCGCTATTTTAATAGTGCAATGGGTTTTTCTTACAATACTCAATAAAACTATTTTGCAAACAGGTGTAATCATGGTGCTAAAATGGGGAACCAATTATTTGCGAAGGATTTAAGGTATTCCAAGCAGAAAGCTGCACATCAGTTGTTTTTAATTTCTTCCCTCTGCGCTATTACGGAATTCTGCCTCAAAATATTTTTCTCTTTTTAGGAAAATTAAATTCAATATGTATTTTCAGGAGAATCTACCGATCTGTCTGAATCATTCTCTTATTGAATTGTTTCTTGATGTTTTAGCTTAAAATTTTTCAAACAAGGATCTAATGCTGGAGCTAAATTCAGAGGGACCAGGGATTTACCATCCCTCAGTACTTTCATCAATGAACAGATGAACGATGACCCCAACGAGGTATTAGTTTTTGCCAATTTTTTACTACAAATTTAAATGAAAGCATTTATGAATTAATTTTTCATTAGTTGTTGTCACACATTTATGGTGAAACTACGGAACCACATATCTCAAAAAACCTGACCAGAAAGGTTAAAATTCTTTTGGATGGCAAGGATGAGTCGCCCTGGAATACTCTCCTTGTATTTTTGAAAATAATTTTAAATTTTGCACATATCGCTAACATCTTTTCACTGAATGATCATGCCCTAATTTCATCTCTTCTTGTTTCAGGATTCTTCTTCCGAAAGTGGCTCGGCCCCAGAAAACAACAGTGGTTTATTTGAGCTAACGGATGATAATTTCCATAAACATATTGCGACTGGGTCTCACTTTGTAAAGTTTTACGCTCCGTGGTGTGGTCATTGTCAGGTAAGCATGCAAAACGTCAACCTGATTTTCGCATCTATTAAACCTGATCCAACAATTTTGGACTCTATCATCTTGTAATCAAGACTTTACTGAAGGCTGTGAGTTCATTGCTCTATTTTTACACTGCCGAAGAAATGGAATTTAGTTTTTCTGGCTTGTAAAATAAGTATGGTTGAAATTTTGGAGATTTTCACCCACTGCTAACAGGTATATCACTGCATGAGCACCACATGTTCTGAATCGCAGAACATTTCACTCGATTAATAGATTTCTTTCTCCCTTATCGCTTAAAAAATTTCTTCACTGATGCAAATATTTCGGACCACTGACCGTTTTCTCTGCTTCTCATTTTAGTTGATTAGTCCATTGTATTCTTGCTCATCTCTTTCAATAGGGAGTGCTTGAACAGTCAAACTGAGTCATTGAATTAATTTTTCAGTTTTTCTGGGTGGCAATTTCATTTATGCATTGTAAAATTGAATAATTTTTGCACTACTAAATCTCAGAATTATTTTTAATCATTTTTCCTCTCCAAAGAAAAAATATTACAAATTAAATGTAATGTTTTGTGCAACTTTATACTTTTCCAGCACCCACTGGTGACTAGTTGCTGCAACTTGTCTTCGGTCAGTTGTATGGATAAAAATTCTATTTTCCGATGCCTTTTCAACTTTTTTTTTCATTTCAGAAACTAGCACCTACTTGGAACTCTCTAGCTAAATCATTTGAGTCTGATCCTAAAGTTCGGATCTCCAAAATTGATTGTACGATTCATGATTCAGTCTGCATAAACTTAGAAATCAGATCCTACCCCACATTGTTGTGGTTTGAAGATGGAAGGAAGGTTAGTGAATGTCCTTTTTATTATTTAGTTCTATTTTCCTCGAACTATGCAGTTCGGATGTGTTGAAAATTAATAGTGAAGTTGTTGTATAACACTCATGATCTTCTTTGTCTTTCATTTCTATAACTGAACATGACTCTTTCTTAATACCTAACACACAAGTTCAATGGTACTGATTGTTTTAGACACTAAAAAGTCAGCAAAATGTTAAGCATAGAGAAAAAATTGAATATTAATTGAGAAATGATGAAAACAATAAATCCCTGGTGATTAATTATGATGAAGCGAGTAATTTAACTCTAACCTCAGCTGGTTATGACTTCATGGATGAAAATCATATTTTTCATGAGAGAAACCAAGATCACAATCTTTTTTCGGCAAATGTTGGAACACACTTCAATCAGAAATGGTTAAAAAAGAAGAAGTCTACGGAGTGTCTGCAGGTCTAGAAAACCGGGCATTTCATCAAGTTAGGAAAGAGTCAGGGAATTTTATGATAAAGACTTAAATTTGAAAAATCTTGAGTTTTGAAATCAGGAAAAACATTCGCGCTGTCCGAACAATCAAACTGAGCCCCAGTACTTTGAGTTACAATGTAAATAATGAACAGATGAATCATAAATTAGAAATTCTAATTTTAGTTGTGTGATTGATTAACCATTAAGAATAAATGCTCACATGTTTCCATCATTTGCAGTGAAATTGAAGCGCTGAGTGCAAAAAGGGCATCTCTTGGTTGCGGTGTTTCAAAATCTCGGCTAACATTTCATCCATTATGATGAAAGCAAATGTATGAAATGTGTTTTCTTTTTCAAAGAATATTCGATGTCATTTTATAATGCTGGAATCCTAAGATTTTAGAAAATTCACCCAACAGTTTCCTCTCTAAAATGTAAAGCACTGAAGATTCTGAAACACTGCATCTAAGAAATGCCCTTCCTGCACTCAACGCGTTAATTAATTCCAAAAATATTTCCCTTTTAGTTCTGTGTCAGTACAAATTGTCGATAAGACATATCAAGGAATTTTGATCATTTTGATAAGGGAAAACCTAGAAGAGTCAGGGAAATTGTTCACCCAACAACCTGAGTCTGTCTCCCTAGAAATTACAATTGTTTAGGACGGTTAACATCTGTGAGATGAGGATGCATACAGAATTAAAATAGGAACAAAAGAATACGCAATTCTTTGGTAGTGAAGTTGATTGCCCTGCTTTTTGATAAGTTCAACTCACCTCTTTTTCAAATGTATTTTCAGGTTGAAAAGTATAGTGGTCATAGAAATCTAGAAGATTTTCAAGCCTACGTCCAGAAAATGCTGGACTCTAAATCGAAATCAAGTCAGAAGTCCAAGCAAGTAGAAGAAGATGTACCTGATAAAGCTAGTCCTGTATTGGCCCTCTCAACGGAGACTTTCGAATCTGGGATTGAAAAGGGAATCACTTTTGTTAAGTTCTTCGCCCCATGGTATGTTGGCATCGTTTTCTGGACGGCATGTTGCTTTTTTTTAAATTGGAATTTGATCAGGATCAACTGACCTCTTCCATTACAAATACAACCTAGTTTAAGAGAACAGTAAAGCTTCATTTATTGGATGTTCAGTTGCAGTGGTTGATTGCAAGTGATTTTCTTATGCTATTTCGACACAAAGCCGTTCAGCAATATCAACTTGTGGCTGCTACCGGCAAACAGTAAATCATCAAAATTATGGTGGATTAAAAATATTTTAGGGAATCTTTTCTTGAGATTGTCATGCAAGTCGAAATGATCATAGCATTTATAATGTAGAAGGAAAACACCAGGAGTCTCTTGAAAATATTATTTTTTTCATCAACTTACAATTATGTTATTAAAGTCTTTAAATCTGTGACTTATTGGTGTGTCTCAGGTGTGGTCACTGCAAGAGGCTAGCACCCACTTGGGACGAACTTGCCAAGAAATTCTCAGAAAATAGCAAGATCAAGATTGCAAAAGTTGACTGCACTTTGTCTTCCAGTAAAACTTTGTGCAATACTCAGGAGGTAAGTAAAGGCAAAAGTATTCCAATCAGTCATCAATTTTCCTCTCTTAATCACTGTAGATTGTATCATCAATTTTATTTATTTCCTCAAAGAATTTTTATTTCCTTACATTCTGTCACGAGAAATTTACATATTGTACATACAATAAATACCCAAAGCTTTTAAGCCTACAGGGACTATCATCAAAGGCAGAAAACACATAGATGGCCCAAGTGCAAAACCATGTATTTCCATTGCAATGTTTCAAAATTTTTGCTCCTATTTTACTCTTTCAAAAAGAGACAAGCCAACCATGTAGCTTATACTGAATATTCTGCCAACAGAGAGAGAAAAAACCAAGGAAGATTTTAAGAAATTATAACTACTCTTGGATTTCAAAGACTTTTTGTATGACTTTTTTCTTTAAAGTTTTTAAGGTTTTTCTATATTTCCTTTTTTTACCCCATGAAGAGAATAACAGAATACCTTTTCATAATCAGTGTTCTCTCTTATCCTTTTTTCAGGTGGATGGTTTTCCAAGTCTGTTCCTGTATATTGACGGAAAAAAAGTATCAGAGTACAACGGCTCACGAGATCTTGAAGACTTATATAACTTTGTCATAAAGCATGAAATTCAGCATGATGAGCTTTAAGAATCCTAATTGCAAAGCGAATGGATTTTTTATTATACGATAATTCCTGTGTTCCCCTTACCTCAGAGTCTTACAACACTATTTATGCCGGAGCAACATTTTAGAATCCTAAAAACATGATCTCAAACTCGCAGAAAAAACTCTGGGAGCCAGTGTGATTGTTATTAAAACATATCAGGATGTTTATTAAGATTTATTTTATCATAATACAGAAAGAGGAAGTGAGTAAGGCTTACCAAAGAATTACGAAAGTCAGATTTTTCTGTGAATTCCCTTTGTTGTCTGTTAAGAATTTTTTACATTTTAGTTTTCCAGGCAATTTTAAAGCTTTCATTACAAAGCGTAGCTTTGGTTTTCAAGAAACATGATATCTGTAGTATTGATGTGGAGCTCAATATTTGGCTGAAGATATTTTTAAATGGTCAGTAGGCAAATTTTCGCAAGAGGATTAGGTTAAGTTTTTGCCTAATGTATACATTAAAGCGTTTCTTAGGTGCAAAAATTTAGTTAGATATAATTTTGTTGCTTGGATTAAGATATTCAAAATACAAGGAAACGCCGGGAATGAGAAAAGTTCTAGTTTTACCTTAAGTACTTGTTTAAGAACTGAATTTATTGATAGTTTTTTTTCCTTTAGATTTTAGTGCACTTTAGTGGGTTTCTTTTTTTGTAAAAAAAAAAAAAAAATCCTCGGCTACCAATCAGGAAGGCTCTATAAGATTGTAGCCAGGAGGCAGAAAAGGCTGTGACATATTTAAATGTTACCTTTATTGTCCCGTATTGCCGCCTCACTCTCTGTTTTGTTTTTCTTGTCTAAAATACCAACTGTTCATCCGAAAATTTGTTCTGCTGTTGATTTTTGAGACGTAATTTAACTAGTGCACTTCCACACCTAATGTAATCGTAGAATAATCTAGAAAATCTGTTTTTTGACTGTTCCCCCCCCCCTATTTTTTATCATTATTCAAAGGCTGGTGGTAATGTCAGCATCTTGTTGATCCTTCAAGGATTGTTCTTATTATCTAATCCACTGTACTGTTGATATTACTGTGACATCACCCTGAGTAAGTAAGCTAAACCCAAAAAATTTTGACTTGTGAAATTTTATTTTATTTCTTTTTTAGAGTAGTGTATGTTGTACCAATAAGTTGGAAGGACCACAAAAGTGCTGATGTTTTGTTGTTTGCATTTTATTTGTGGTCAACTTAACATAATTACAGTTATTATGATCTTATGTATTATTGGTGAACCATTTTCATCACAATCACTCGTCTTACTTTCGAACATTAAAATTTTTATGGACTGCATTTTTAACTGTTTTCTACGCGGAAAACTTTCTTTAAACATACTCATAAAAAAGTGCCTCAAATTTGTTGGGTCAATGAAAAGAACTTTTCCACCCATTTTACCAGGGGTGTACTCAGTCGGAAAAAATATACAGGAATATCGGCCGATTAGTGCTCAGATTGGCCTCTTTTAATAGTTGTTTTGCCATGTACCTATAGGAGACAAATAGGTTTAAAATCGCCTTTAATATCGTTTGGATCATCATGGGTTTTCTTAGTAATCTCACCTGCCTGACTATCCCTGCATTACACCAAGTCTAGATCGTAAAGCATCGTTTTATCAAGTACAGGAACACAAATGAGTCCGACCTCAAGCTCAAAATTTTGATGCATCACAGATTTTTATAACTCTTCTATAGCAAAATGAAGCTTGAACTGTACACCATTCATAAGAATTCTACTAAAAGTTTGACTCTTATTGAGTCAGTCTTGATAGTTCATGAAAGATGATGGAATATTCTGTTATGTGATAGTTTAAACATCGTATGCAAGTTATGGGCTTAGTGTTCAATGCTTTTGGTCTAAGAATGAAAAAAGTGTTAATTAAAAATTGTTTGAATCATCTGATACAAGAATGTGAACTTGACTTTTCCTCTCATTGTTAAGATGTGTTCTTCAGCTCTCTCATGCTCAGCCCATCAACAGTGTGTTACTTTTCCTGTTGTAGAATAGAATGTGTTGTTAGTCATTTTTTTTTTTCTTCTTTTGTACTTACATGAGTATTAAAATTTTGAAACCAATCTGCCCCTCTGTTTTTGTATCAATAATACCAGGTAGTTCAAATACTATCGTTTTCCACAAGCCATAATAACTTATACATGTTCATTGATAAAGCTCTGATATTAATTGCATGTAAAATAAATCACAATAGGACTATGATCATGTTTCCCCAGAGCAAATTGTTTAAGCAAAAATAACTTTACTGTAAATGTTAAGTCCAAACTCTGTCCTGAAGTACCTACTTTTGGGTGAACTTTCTAAGGATCATACATTTTCTCTAATTCATTCCTTGGTTTAAAAAATTACTAATTTCTTATATGTAGGTAGATTAAAACCCAAATTAAAGTTCCTGTCAGATTTTTTAGATCACATGAAATATTTAGTGATAATATAAGGGATCAAATGGTACTGTCAATCAAAATTTTTATTTTTTACTATTCAAGAAAAAAAAGAAAAAAGCTGAAGGAAATAATGATGCAGCTATGGAAATGTGCTAAAGAGAAGGTCCTTGAAATGTAACGCGGAACACTAAGTACTCAGAAATAGTTCAATTTTCAGCCACCATCACTTGCAACACTAGTTTCTTGAAGTTTATACTTACTGGTTTTTTTAAAGAGGTCTTTTAACTAAAAGATTTAACCAGGTATGTAAGTATCAGTAAGTGTCGATTTCATGTGTGTCAACAAAAGTAATCAACACACAAAACCCGGTAACCAAGGCTCAAAATATTTGTTTTTTAGCCTTGTGCCCATTTTTTGTGTGTTTCGTAATTCTTGTCACAATTCTGGCTTTTGCGTTGTTTTTATTATGAGACAAAATTATGGTTGCCAGCGAACACTTCCCTCTCAAACGTCGCCTTGTGCTTTCTCTCAGCTGTGAAGTGCCGAGCTCTGTCGCAAGGGACGTATCCAGCGAATTTGAAGGCGAAATGAAATGATTTACTTTCAGTACATTCAAGTTTAACAAATCAAAATCCGTTTATCGCTGTGTGGTTATAATTTACGAGTTATGTCAACACCGTCTCAGTCAGAGTTGCTAAAAGAAATTTCATCGAATGAAATTTCGTGAAATTTCCCAAGAAACTTTATGAAATTTCTTTTTTCCCATAAATTTCATGAAATTTCTTTTTTTCCCATGAAATTTCTTGAAAATTCCCCTTGAAATTTCTTGAAAATTCCTCATGAAATTTCTTGAAATTTCTCAGTTAAAAAAAAAAAAAAACGCTCAACGCCAAAAAAAAAATCCTTGAATTTTTTGCGATGAACGTTAACCGTTGCGTGATAAAGGGGCGCTATGCCACATGGTTTTTAAAGTGCCGTGCTCTGTCGCGAGGGAAGTATCCAGCGAATTTGAAGGCGAAATAAAATTATTTACTTCGGTGCATTCAAGTTAAACGTATTAAAATCCGTTTAGCACTGTGTGGGCATGACTGCCGAGTTAAGTCTACACTTTTTAGTTAATAAACACGCTCAACGCTAAGGGAAAAAAAATCCAATTAATTTTTTTGCGATGGATATTCGTCGGTACGGGTGAAGGGGCGCCCAATCAGTCATCAGTCATTCATCCGATGAGGCATGCGTTGGGTAGGGTTCCCTGTGCGATCGGTGTTCGTGACGTCATTTTGTCATGCGAGCCCCATCTGACCAATGGCAAGAGCGAGGCGACTCTAGCGAACGGAAGAAGCGTGCGCAGTGACGTCATGGAGCAACGAATTCCCCTGTACGTTGCTGATTTGTAAACACCACACTCCTCCTTCGACTGCGGTATCAAGTTTAGTTTTGGAGGCGTGGTAATCAGACACATCTACTTAATTTCGTTCGTATCATGTCGAAATCGTGAGGATCAGTGTCGCGCGCTAGCTTTCGGTGGAAAATCGTTCCGAATGACATGAACGAGCTCGAACCGACCTGACGGGTATAATATTCTAATTAAGTGGTTTATGATAAACTCGTGTGCTTTCCCTCTCGTACCCACACTTACCGGTTGGCCGTCAGTGTGCAGTTCTCGGACAGTAATTGTCTCGCAACTATTTGAGGACGAAGCCAGTTTTCCGCGGCGTTCGGCATGAGATTTCCGCGCTTTTCAGTTTTCGTTCAGTTTCTCTAGCGGTGCTTTGTTTTTCGTTCTGTCTGTGATACCAGTTCCAACGTGCAAACCTCGCTCCTGGATTTCTGCGTGAAGTAGTTGATATTTTTATCAAGAATCTATTTTTCTAACGTATTTTGCTCGGTGCCCACAATTTTTACTACTGTTAATTTTTCTAGTTTATTTTCTAAATCTGTAACTTCACAATGAAGCGGAACTACGTTGGTCTCACTCTCACCAACTACTCCTACATGTTCAACTTCGAGGAGGAGTTCGAACACCAAAACACACGGGTATGGATGACCAACAACTGGACCAAAGGATTTTACTATTGTGGACTCTACATGGTTATCATCTTCCTCGGACAGTTGTACATGAAATCCAGACCTAGGTTTGAGTTGCGGAAAGCTTTGATCGTGTGGAACTGTATGTTGGCGTGCTTCAGCATCATTGGAGCCTGCAGAACTGCTCCCGAGTTACTGCATGTACTTAAGAATTATGGAGTTTACCATTCACTCTGCATACCAAGGTAATTCATTAAGAATAATTTCTCATTCAATCCCCAATCAATCCCATTTCATTAACTTTCTCATCCGATTTAAGAAGCATCGGGGCTCTTATCACATGATAACTTTTTCTTATATCGCAATTAGATCAAGCTTTCATGCGAAATTGTGTTTTTGGTCTTTGTGTTTGAACATAGTGCAAATCCTTCCATAAAGTTTCACTCCCAAATTCACGGTGCTCAGCCTCATTTGATAACAGTGTTATCAGCGGGTCGTTATCACACTTTCTCTTTCCTCCTAACTGTGTGGACCAACCTCTGTGTCGTAGGCCAATTTCTTAAATTTTAATGTCCCTAATTGATAGGCCTGCATTTCTCTGCCAAACTCCAAGAATGTAAGGTTAGTTCACATGTTTATGAGAGAGTTCCTGTTTAGGGCCAATATTGGAGCATTGTAAGAGGTTAAATTTACATTCTGCTTACCACTAGGTGCTGAAATTTTTTGGGGAAAGTTTTGTGTATAAAACATTTTCTTTCACATGTAAGAATAAAGTAATGTGAATTCCAGATATTACTGAATTTGTTGACCCTGCTCTTCACTGGAAATAATTAAAATCTCTCCCCTACTAGGAAAAGAGATAATAAATATGTAGGTCATCGTCCTTGTTGAAGGTCCATCACTATTTTAAATCTGTCAGATTTTTGGCATGAGTACTATCAAAGTGCTGAAGCAAATTGACCTAATTTCTGTGATAAAATTTTACTGGGATCGTTTCTCAATCCATAAAGAGAATGAAAAATATTGAAGAAGATGAGACTAGTAGTTAAATTGAGAATGTAGTTTAAATGCATTTTATGCTCTTTTATAGGACTAGGCACTTAATTACTCACAATTTTTCATTGAGCCACTGATTTGGTACTGTTACTCTTTATGAAGTAAAGATGAAAATTGTAGTGTAGTTAGTAATACACTCTATGCTCTTATTTTGTTTTCATCTTCAGTGCCACTTCATCAGTCTTCCAGCTGGATCACAAAATTTCACGATTTTGCTTGCACTTCTCTTTTTTAATGGGAAACTACCTAAACCCACTTACCGAATGGTTGAAACTTAAATATACGTGTAACTGCTTTATCTCAAGGGAAATTCTGTTTGTTCTCTCAGGTTTTGAACCAAACGGCATGCATAATCCTTCAATAAAAAAAAAAAAAAAACATTCTAAGTTAGTGGTCAGAGTGTTCTCAGGACAGATAGGCTGGAGAAACCAGTGGCCCGATTATTGAAATTATGTCGATACGATATGACAAGACGTAGCCCTCTCAAAACCACTTAATATATCGCAATTTGATGTCTTATCTGGCTGCTTTAAACCTCCAATAATCGGCTTGCTGGAAAAGGCAGGACTAAAAATATTTTATAACCAATATCAATGAATAAATTTGTCTGCTTAATTTTCCCCTCATACATTCAGTTCGTGCAACCATCTAAGCAACAATTTTAGAAAATAATACTTTTCATTGGTAAAAATACTCACAAATTTTGAGGCTAATTATATTTTCAATGGTTGAAAAAGCTCTCTTTTTTATGAGCTATATGGTGGTTGATTATTGGAAAATTTGAGTGTCTCTATTTCATTTGAGTCTGAGGAAATCTGGAAAAGTTTGGTTTTTTTAGTCTACTTATATTTTGGATGGTATTCTTAGCCATCGCAATGTACATATATTTTTGCCGCTCAATGATGACCCTATAATGATAGTGTTAAATTCCAATGAATAAATAGTGCGTTGTACTTGGGTGAGAGCTCAATCAAATATTCTCTTCAAATAATGAAGGCAGACTATTTTTGTGACTCGAGAGAATCAAGTTTTTCAGAGTTAAAAAATTAAATCCACTTCCATCCATGGTTCTTACTAAATATTAATTAAATAATTGTGTAGAAAAGGATGCAAAAAGTGATTTTTTTAAGGTCAATTTTTTGCGGAAGTTACTCTGGGATTTACAGGATACTCCTTTGAACGAAGTTGGTTAACAAAATAAAACCTAGTTTTCTCGGTAGAAATCATCATGAAGGACCTCAATTTTTTTTCAAAAACTTCACTAAGGAACACACTTCCTTCATTTTCTAGTGATTGGAAGTATTTGCCCAAAAAGTCGTGTACATTTTCAATTTTTACGGAAATTTGAACGAAAATGTCAAAGGCATCATTACTGGACATAGCAGACTCCAGGCGCGCAACTATTCGAACTCCGGTGTAGTCATGTGGTATCACGCTAAAATGAAGGGAAATTTTCGCTTTTCGCCTGTCTCAAATTACCAACGTTTATGAATGTAGGTTTTATGCTCGCATTGTTAAATGTGAAAATCAAGCTCGCAACTATTCGAACTTCGGAGTAGGTATGTGGTACCACGCCAATATGAAGGCTAATGTTGGCTTTCGCCCGTCTCAAAGTATTGACGTATATGAATGTCGCGATATTCATGGGAAAATGCGTAATTTGTCATGTGTTTACGAAACCGCTGGAAAAATCGCGTATTTGCCGTGATACTAAGGTGAAATACGCGTAATATTCCATGTTTTTAACAAACGTTTTGGAATAATCGCGCACTTGCTGTATGAAGGTGAATAACGCGTAATCTTCTACTTTTTTACAAAACCGCTTGAAAAATAATGTCTTTGCCGCGAAATTGAAGTAAATTACGCCTATTGTTTTATGTTAGTTTCGCAACCATTCGAATTCCGGAGTAGGTACTTACGTGATATCATTCGGAAATTAAGGAAAATCTTAGGTTTTCGCCTGTCTCAAAGTACCTCAAAGCTCGCATCGTTAAATGTGGAGTGGAAATAAAGTGCGCAACTATTCGTGCCCCGGAGTAGGTATGTGGTATCACGCTAAAATGAAGGCAGATGTTGGGGTTTTTCTCCTATCTTACATCAGTGACGTTTATGAACGCGGCTGTGTTCATAAAAAAAATGCGTATTATAAGTTTTATTCCTGCGTATCTTCTAACAGGTATCAGGGAATTTCATTTTCTAAATTATGTGGTAACCCTGAATAGAACGTAGGTATGAGAAAATTTTGGAACGTCGCTATTATTCGTCACCTGCCGGCCGAAGTATCACAAGCACCATGCGACGTTTAAAAATTTCCCCCGCCATTTTATTTTTTTACAGAGAAATTGTTGGTTGTAGTTGTCCGAAAATTAAAATTCAGTGATTCAGATTCATTCCAAAATTTCACTGAATTTTCTGAAATTCAGTGATTCAGATTCATTACAAAATTTGATTACATTTCATTTNGAGAAAATTTTGGAACGTCGCTATTATTCGTCACCTGCCGGCCGAAGTATCACAAGCACCATGCGACGTTTAAAAATTTCCCCCGCCATTTTATTTTTTTACAGAGAAATTGTTGGTTGTAGTTGTCCGAAAATTAAAATTCAGTGATTCAGATTCATTCCAAAATTTCACTGAATTTTCTGAAATTCAGTGATTCAGATTCATTACAAAATTTCACTGAATTTTCTTAAATTCAGTGATTCAGATTCATTACAAAATTTCACTGAATTTTCTTAAATTCAGTGTAATTTTCATCAGATTTGACCAATAATTTCTCCGTAAAAAAATAAGATGGCGACGGAAATTTTTAAACGTCCCATGGCGCTTGTGATACTTAGGCCGGAAGGTGACGAATTATTGCGACGTTCCAAAATTTCTCATACGTTCTATTCAGGGTCACCACATAATTTAGAAAATGAAATTCCCTGATACCTATAAGAAGATACGCCAGGAATAAAACTTGTGACCAATTGAGAGACGTGGTCTTACAGTTAAGCCAACGGATGGTGCGACAGACCCTTCTTACTTAAATGTCTCTCGATCATGACAACTCAGAATGTGACTCCCGTGCCGTCGCGTCTTCGACATCATCACAATAATTAATCTGATTAACCTCAGTTAATATCCACTGAACTTCATAATATGACGTGGGCTGGGGGAGAGACACGAGTGTAGATGCATATGTCTCGATCCTACTCACATGCGACTCGACGTGCAATAGACCTAAGTACTCCTCAACTTATTACTTCAAATTGACGTATCTCTGCCAAACGGAACTATTTACATTAAGACATGAGCCCTGAGACCCATAAGAATACATGCATACCAGGGCTCACGTCATAATGCACATAGTTCCGTTTGGTATAGAAATACGTCCATGTTTATTGTTTGGATCATTACCGTCAGTTTTCTCGTTGATCGTAAACCGCTGCACGCTGACGCAGCTCATTGCCCGAAAGGAATTTCTGAACCAGTGATGAGGCATTAAAGAATAAAAATAATACACCTAACGGAATGAAATGAAAAATTAGTACTTTTATTCAACTTGCTGTAGTCAACGACACATCGCGGCCATTCGCCCGGAAAATGCTCTCTAAATATTTAATGGTTTTATGCTGATTCTGTTGTCTGAAATCCTTAGGGGTGCAAATAGTGTGATCCGACCGAACGTTTAACGCAATCTAGAATTTTTTCCTCGCTCATTCCTGAGAAATGTCCTCTCTCTCCCAGATTTTTCAAAGTATTACTTAACCTCTTTTTTTTCTCTTCCTCTTCCTTTTGAAAATTTGGTAGGAGCGTCTCTCGAAAAGTCCATAAGACCGATAAATCTTCAGAATTTTTTCGGTGTCGTTTTAAAAAAAAACCCATAAAAATCATGCAATCTCCGTATTGTATGATTGTACCCCTGTAGGGCTCCTTTCCTGTTTTTATCAAAATTATATATAAAAAAGGTATCTTTTTTGCAGCGTATTATACACTGAAAAAAAAACACATTGGATCTCGAGTCCAGACTCTTAAAAAGCTCCTATATGCCATATGCGCTCCTTCAAATCCTACTCTTAAAAACATCGCCAAAAAAAAATACTCTTGATTCAATCAGATTTAAGCTTAAATCAAGAACCCAGCCTCTTAATCTGAGCGGATTTCCTTTTGATTTAAGCTTAAATCTGATTGAATCAAGAGTCCT